CAGAGGGGAACTGCAACAGTTCAGCAGCCGGAAGTGTACAGAGAGTGAAGTTCTCTCCTTTAGACATTCTCTGCTTGTACTGTAGTTGTTCTGGGAGTTCAAGTTACAACAGAACACGTTTTATTATATTATTAGTGCGTGTGTGTGACTTTATTATGTTATCTATATAATACTTCCCTCATATTATTTCTACAGGTTAATTAGTCAATCACAGCTGGTGTGTGTATTATTTCACTGAGGCAGAGGGGCATTTACGCTACTTAAATTATAATCACTATGTATAGGAACTGTTAGATTATAACGTGACACTGATGGGGAGGGATGTGAGGGGGTGCCTTCCTCGGTCCTGTGACCTCCACGTGTGTGCTCATGTACAGTCTGAGGTCAGGTTGTGTGTCTGGACCGAGTCCGTGGTGTGTTTGACTGTCAGACATGAAAGGACATTAGATTGTGTGTGCAGTTGGCCGTGCTGAGCGGATGATAAGAGGTTAGTCTGATCAGCTGTTTAACAATGAAATGTGCCCGCACTGATACGCTCTGATCTCAGACAGAAAGTTGAACCCGGCTCAAGTTTTGCCACGGCGCAGTCCAATGTCAGCAGAAAATTATTTGACCAATTAAATACGTGCAAGCTGACGCGCCAGGGAAGCTGTCTAAGTAGCGGGTTCTGGGTCAAGTCCGTGTCACATTTCAAGTAATTCAGGACGGGTCTGTCACAAGTGTTCATTAGCAAATTGTAAAGTCAAGATGAAGTCTTTTAGGTCTTTAAATCCTGACAATTATAACGACATGGCATTTTAAAATGTTCTTTTTTTCAAAGCTGCTAATGATGATTTTAGCTTTTAAATGTCCAATATTTAATATTCAAGGTGTTTGACCATGCATGGCCTGCTTGATGTGTCTTAATTAGATGTTTTTCTGGGGATTTTATTGGGTGAAAAACTGACATTTTTACCCAAATCTCTCAAGACAAGTCAAGTCCCACAGCAGTCATGTTCAGGTCAAGTCTCAAGTGTTTATTTTTGGGAGTTAACATATAATTCTGGTTTATTACAATGTAAACAGACCTGTGTTAAAACAATGCACGGGGCTGCTGTTGGTGGGGACGTGTTGTTTCTGATAGACATGAGATATGATCCAGGAAGTCTCAGACAATTTTTTTTTTTTCATAACTCATTAAAGTTAAAGCAGTTTTATTTTTCATTGTAACAACTGACTCGAGTACTTTTACTTTTTAGTTTCTGTGAAGGACATTTCTACCAGTTCTACAAGTCCCTCCCTCGTCTGTTTCGACTGTTCTGTATGATATACACTGGTCTTGATGTTGGGAAGGCGTGCAATGATGCAAAATAATGTACTAATGTGCTACAATAATGTTTGAGTTCAGTATTGATATATATGATTGCAAAATCAGTCCCTTAAAGTCCCTCCATCACCCTCGGTCGTGTGCGTTTGTCAAGTTTATCCACCTGTCTGTTATTTATTTTTTTCCTACCACAGCCTCATTCAGTTAGGCTCAGAAAATTAAATTGAAATCAAATTAATCCATGTGTGGAGGGCTAATAATGAGCCCTGGGATAATTGCGACAATTAAATTTTAGGGAACCAGATAGGCGGCAGGAGATGAGGATGGAGGACGCTGTGATTGGAGTTCACCGGGTTCGTCTGCGGTGCTGCTGAATTGGCGATTGTGTGAAGCGAGCTCTTTGTAAACGCCAGCGAGAAAGCACGCCGTTAGTGACAGTACGAGATTTGATGTCACAGTCAAACGCTTTTCCATAAAGGCGAGAAAGAGGAGCAGAAAGAAATCAATTACCTAGTTCAGAAACACAAAAGCTGCAGGTTGTCTCTGCCGGCTCAGAGGGAGAATAGTTTCCATGGTGAACTTATGCTGACAAATACGAACATTACTTACAATAATACATACAAAAAAGTATTATACTCTATACACCAGGGCTCTAAAATGTGACAATATGATCTGTTTTCAGCTTTTAGCAAAATGTCCAATGGCCTGGGGTTGGGAGTGAATGGTTTCACTCATCGTTATGTCCGTTTGTTTCAGTTAGTTAGCTAGTAATGAGGCATTTAGCATATTATGAACCACATCTGAGTCAGATTGGGAGGAATTTGTAGGAGAAAACAAGAATAAAGCTCAATTTGGACTGAATTTATCATATTTGTTATAATTATATTACTTATGAAACATCAAGTAAAAGCTCCTTAAATGAGCTGTTGTAGTGACAGCTACAGGTATTCTCTCGTTATCCTCGTTTTAGCCTACATTTGTTTACATTTTTAGCAAATTGGCGCCGTTAAACGTATGCAGAATTAGCTATTAGCATTTGATATCCACAGGAAGTATGTTGCACCAGCTGTGCTTAAATTCACCCTACAACGTGACCGCATCTCACAAGAAGCAAGTTTTTATGTAGTTATTACAGACTAACATTAGCTGCCTCGCTCTCTACTTCCCATCCTGCGTCTCCCTGAGCTGCTGCCACATCAGAGAGAGCCCCACGTTTTATAATCGAGACCTCCACAAATACTCAGCCTCGCCGCTTCCACTCTGCCAGATCGTAGCTTTGGGGCTTTTTTTGCCAGCTGTTTATCTGGTTATCCTGTTATCTTTAGCCTGGCGCTGTTTTTCCTTCTGCTCTGACTCTGGTTCCTGTCCCTCATCGTGTCAGCTCTGCTTCCCCTGCCCCCCGGACCTGCTTACCGCAACCCTCTAACTCCCTGATCGAACTGTCGATCTGAAACTTGACTTCATGCGATTTAATAATAATCAATCCCTCCAGGATGTTGCAGGGGTGTTTGGGGGATTGCTGCGGCTTAATAATTTCATGGCACCGTTTCTACAAAATTGAGCTGCAAGTTTGCGAGAGAAAGTTAAAATAGGAAGGAAAATATTTGCTTTTTTTGGGTATAATTCATCACAAATTGAGAATAATTTGTTCTAGTGAGAATAAAATCTGTAGTAGTTTAGTAATGTATGGCTAAATGTTGTGCACATGATTGGTGAAACTTGGCAGGTTCAGTTAGGTTAACATAATCAGATTATTTAACTCTTATTCAACACTGAAAGAACACCTTTACTAATGCATACGATTAACTCTCAAACACACATATCTATCGAAGCCCATTTTATGCCAATCTGATGGAGAAAAAAGTCAAAAAGATTAGACATTTTCTCCAAATAATGAGAAACTATCAAAATAATCAGAAACTTTATCAAAATAATGAGAAATATTCACAATATTTTGACCTGGTGTCACACAGGCATTATTTTGAGTCAATATTACATTATAATATACTCATTATAACGACTTAGAATCTTTTTTTCTTTGTCACATTGGCAGAAATGGGCTTCCATACATATCTCTCCATGCATACAGGCATAAAATAATTCCTGCATTTACACAGAAGATATGTCTCCTGCGACAGAGCTTTCACACATCGAGCAATTAAACTCATTGCCGCCTCTATCCACACTTCACATTGCTGCCATCTGGTTGTACGAGACATTTAAAATGGAGGAGAGCTCGTTTGGCAGGAGTTTATCCCTACTGCTGTATGAATCTGAACATATCTGCATGAGTGGTGTAGACGGTGTATGTCTGTATGCTGCTGGGTGGAAGATGTACAGGACTGCAAAAACACGTCTCCCTTTGGGACAATAACTGTCTTTAACTGAGTTATGCTAGCTTGTGAATTTACTTGTGACTTCATGTTTATGTAGTTAATTGCTCTTAAATGGACAGATGTTTTATATTTATGTTTCAACTTACATGTCTAATGTGAAATAACAGGAATAATCAGTAAATAATACATAAAGACTGAAATCTATACATTTTTTGCAGATATTTACTGTTTAGTTAATAGATTAAACTGTTAAACTCAAGTTTAATACTGTTAATATTAAACTTTTGAAAGTATCTGTTCTGTGATTTTAACATGGATTTCTTTGTTAATTGATATTTTGTGTAATTATGGACAAACAAACACAAAAACAAATGTTTGAATAAATGTTTTGTATCAGTGTATAAGCATTGGTAAACTGTCAAAATGTTATCAGTGAAAACCGCAATAATTACTGTAATTACAGATTAAAGAGACTTTATTACAGTTCTATAACTTTAAATGTAACTTTAAGCCTGATTATTTGTATTATAGCAGTGTTTGCCTGTATTTATGAATTCATTTAATTGTTTTTACATATCTTTAAACATGAGAAAATTAAAGATTGTATGTCCAATTGAAGCTTAAAAATTGGTGCTCCAGCTGCCAGAATATGACCATTTTAGTTTTCTCTGTTTTACAGTGTAGTAATTACTAAGAACAAACATAGTAAACAATTTACAAATACCAAATGTCTCAGATAAAAGCAAGCATGAGAGGAATGTGTCCATTTTCCTGATGTACACTCTGGAAATCACAATCAGTCCAGGAATTTTAATCACTCTGTCAGATGTATATTATCACAACTGTAACATTTGTTTATTTTGTTTCTCCTATGACCTGATTTTTTTTCAAAAACTTCTCCTTTCTGACCTGGAAAGCCGTGAGATTAGTTGTGGTTCAGTAGATTTCACACTGACATATACCCACACTGCTCCTGTGTAATCCCAGCTCTGGGAATACTGGAATGTGGGAGGAGGAGGTGTTTATTTTCAAGAAGTGTGGCAGTGAAAGAGAGGAGGAGTTAAATCTGCTTCAACACAAGTGGTATGGCTGAGAAAAAAAAAATACATTTCATGCTAAATACCAAGCTAGAGACCCCCAATGTGACCCTACAGGATAAGTGGGCACAGACAACAATGTTTACCTCTCATGTTAACCACTAGAACTTTAATGTTGTCGTCCTTTGTC